AAGGGCTAGTAGAAAGAAATAGGAACTATATACCCCACACATGTACTAACAGGGGGTTACCTGTAGACTCTAGTTACCGCTAGAGTCAGTGGTACTAAGTAACAAATAAGGTCACAGAGACAAAAATGGCTACAGGCGTAATACCCATTTAAAGTCCGGTTATTTGCATGTGACTTGCTACTAAAACTAAGTGATCTTAAAAGAAAGTTAGCTTTACTGCTTAAATTCCCAGCCTTTATTTGGCTTCCAGTTACTGCCATGATGATCAATCCTTATGACTAGTCATTCTAATGAGTAGTAAACAAATGCTTCTAAGCACTCTGAATCACTGTAGCAAGAGACAAATAGTCTCACAAAAGCCTTTTATAGCACACTTCAGAAAATAAGAAAGTCCAAAGGAAGTGAAAAGAAAACATGCCATGTTTCTTGAGCATTGTAACTGTTTTATTTTCACCTGGTTTGCTGCATTCAGGCATATAAAATGCTTGGTTTTATACCACTCTCTTTTTTTTTTACATACCATTGTCTATTCCCTCTTTTTCTCTCCCACATGATCATGCAAATATGACTTCTCTTTGAAACTGCATACATGGTGCTCCATACCTTACAGGACAGACAGCACCTTGCAATATGACTGATCTTGCCTAAGGAATGTAGCTTTGATATTTGCAAAACAGATTTTAATTTAAAACTTAGTGAAAAACTAAGAATAAGAAATCTTTATCAATAACATATGTTCCTGTGTGTTACCTCATTTGGACATCTAATGTAAGAATATGAGTGGGTAATAGGATAAAAATACATTAGCATCATACCTTCTTTTGTTTTACTTTTGTACACTCTTGCACATTCTTAACTTTACTGATATAAACATAAAGAAATAAAAGGGACTATTATCATGACTTAGATTATGTGCTAAACTGATTTACAAAATTAGAGCCCTAAAAAGCAAAGATTTAAAATACAAATGAGTAGACTCAGTCATCTCTGTTCTCTCCTTCTCTCCTCCTCATTTATTTGAATTCTCTTTACTCTTACAATACCCTTAAGTAACAGCATCCATAGCATATGCACATAATGCAAACCAAGGAGATAAGTTTTTTTCTTGCAAGTTTACTAATTCAAATGAGGGCTGAATTTAACATGTATGGAATTCCTGATAAACATATTTATGTTCTTCAACAGTGAAAACAGCATCGATAATGGTCTCTAACTGTTCACAGTGATATCTTCATTTAACAAAGAATGTAAAACCCTGTGAAATACATTTATTTGTTACTTTTATGAATGACTACAAAAATTTCTTTAATGGCACTTCAATTTCTTTAATGACACTGTCTTTGTAGGAGAGGTGCTCCAGCCCTTTGATCATCATCTAGATTGTTTCCAACAAGTCCATGCCCCCCCATGCTCACTCAATCACAGGAGTTGGAAAGTACTTCTACGGATCGTCAAGTCCAACCCTCCTGCAAAAACAGGTACCCTATGATAGGTCACGCAGGTCCAGCCAGGTCTTGAATATCTCCATAGAAGGAGACTCCAGAACCTCTCTGGGCAACCTGTTCCAGTGCTCTGTCACCCTAACTGTGAACAAGTTCTTCTGCATAGGAACTTCCTATGTTCAAGCTTTAGGCCATTACTCCTTGTCCTATTGCTACCATCAAGAAGAGTCTGGCCTCATCCATTTACCTCCCACCTCCCTTTAGATATTTATGAATATCTACCAGATCCCCTCTCAGTCTTCTTTTTCCCCAGGCTGAATAGACCCAGATTCCTTAGCCTTTCCTCATATGGGAGATGTTCCAAGCCTTAATCTTTGTGGCCCTCTGCTGGACTCCTTCATGGAGATCCCTGATTTTTTTGAACTGGGGAGCCCAGAACAGCATACAGGGGTCTAAATGTGGCCTCACTAGGGCACAGTAGAGGGGGAGGATCACCTTCCTGGACCTGCTGGCCATGCTCTTTTTAATGTACTGCAGGATACCATTGGCTTTCTTGGCCACAAAGGCACACTGCTGTCCCATGGCCAACCTGTTTTCCATTAGGATGCCCAGCTCCTTCTCCACAGAGCCCCTCTCCTTTAGATTAGGCTCCATCATCTGCATAAAACCAAAGCATCTAAGATACATAGACATCTAAGTAATGCCTTCTATATATTTCCATGAAAACTGTAACAGAGACAAAGAGCACAATAACGCTATTTAATAGAGCAAATTCTCAGCCACTAAATTGTTTTTCAACACAGTCACCACCATTAGCTATGTGTTTTTGCCAGTGATGAACAAAAGCCTGCCTGCCAGGCTTGTAAAGATCTGCATGAGCAGAGGTGACCCACTGTCACTGCCACTGCTGAAACACATCACCTACTGCCTCACTGTGCTCACATCCATTCTTTGGTCTCCATAAACACTCAGCGTGCATCAATGAATGTCAGTGGGTGCCATTTTTTCCACATGAAGAAATTCAGTGACACACCTCTTTTTCATACACACCTCCATGTCAGATGCCATTCCATCAGACTGCCCCTTTGCTGCCATCTATCACACTGCAACAAAATGTAAAATAATATATTAATTGTGCTTCAGGTATATTAATTCAGAACAACACGGGCCTAATATTGCTGTAACCATGTGGACAAAGGTAACATTTTAATAAGGTGTGAAGGATATCACTGAAGAGTTCAAATTAAGACACTCTGAGAGAGTAGGCCAGTTTATGAGGTTTAAATCACAGGAAAAATAGGGAATCCCATAGCAAAACAGTTACCATGTATTTGCATTAAACAACAACAAAAAAAATCATTCTAGTTAGGATATTTGTTCTGCAGTGTTCTTTCCTTGTACTTTTCCTTCACTCTGATATGAAAATTATATTCTTATAAATACTACAAAGAAATTAAACTTAATCATTCCATCTCCTCAAACCACGTTTCAGTAATATCTCTAAGGATTTAACTCACATACCCTGGATTATTCTGGGAGCCTTAAGTTGGCTTTATTACAATATCGGTTTATTTTTCTTGCTACCCATAAGCATATTATTTCAGAATTATTTAAGCAGGGAAATCTCACTGGATTTTGTGTTCTTTCTGTGCAAGTATCAAGAGATTCTTAAAATATTTTATCAGCTATAAAATCCATTATGACACATGCTAAATAATTTTCAGATGAATGCATTTCCCTTTATTCAATCTAGTTACCTCCTGAAGTTCAGCCTATATAGAAGTCTGAGCCACTGTGATTTTTCATCAGTCTGCAGTAATATGTTTAACTGTATGGAATTGTTTAAGCGAAACAGCAGACCTCCAACCAGACATTACTGTTTTAATAAGCCTGTTTCAACATCCTACAGACATGGTCTACAGAAGTACATTACAAGTTCTGAGGGGTGAGGTTCTAACAGGAAAGGACACAGGGGACGTGTATCTCTGCAGAGAGGCATATCCTGAAGCTGCTGTGGAGGAAGGATGAGTGGAAGGAAGGACTAGGTCTACAGTTGAAGTTAGAAGCACTGAAAGTTGGAAGGTAGAGGTCCAGTGAATGACAACAGTACTAAATAGGAGGCAAATCCCAGCTCTGGCAGCAAACACCTGTCAAGCTTTAAAGAACAACTACATGAAAGAAGCAAAGGCAACAGGTTGAATGGCAACTGTGCAGCTTTTTATTGCAGATCCCTGCCCTTCCTGACTAGAATCTGCTCACTGCTGTGCCTTTCTTCACCTAGGCCTGTCCCCACTGCTTCTTCCTGGCAGTGTTCCCAGCAGAGAACCCAAAGCCTCAAGGATACATACTCTGCTGCTCTTCAGGAAAGTCCTATATTTTAGACTAGCCATTACAAAGCACTTTAGCAGAAATCTTTTATTTATTCCTGCAAGAATCAGAGCACAAATATAAAAAATAAAGTGTGACATCAGATTTATTTAAGGGAATTCTCAGCCATCCATCTGCAGATATATAGACTGCAAAATATTCTGTTGCAAAATATTCTGCCTTTTCTTTGAGTTGTTACATAAAAACAGAAAATTATTTCACTAGTGCAAATTCTCAAAATGTTTTTCTATTATTTATAAATGGTCTAATATGGCAGAATTTTGCCATTCTTAAACACAGCTGTAATGAAATAAGCTGAAACTTAACAAATGTGACTGGGTAGTTTCTCCAGAATTACTAGTTTTACAGGCTCTACCAAAGCAGATTTGTACACTGAACTGAACAGTCATTTTGCTATACTGTGCAGTAATATAAACAAAGACGAAAATGTCTGGAAAATACAACAGTTACTCACGTCCAGCATGCATTAAAAGTGCAAGCTTACTTATACACCTTACAGCTTCCTTAAGTGATAATGTTTTCCCTTCCATCCATTCCCCAGTTTTTCTATCTACTCATTTACAGTTCTGTACAAAAGGAAAACAGAATGAACTTCTTGTTCTACTCTATCAGACAGATTTTTCTCTATATATAGGGATGTACCTAACACTCTTTCCTACCAGCTTTATTTAACCTAATTCTTTTCTAGGTGAGGCTCTACAATGACACTAATAAAAGTTCAATATGCTTCCAGTTAATACCTTTCCTAACTATGGACCTACAATATTAAATCTATAGCAATTTTCTACAGGCAGAGTCACAGCATTTTAAGGTCAGATTATATTTTAAAACAAAGCATACTTCTATAGATAATATTTTCCTTATCAGTTTTTCTAATATTCATCTATTTCTAGTCACAAGTAGTGATAATGGCAAGTAATAATTTTATCGCTGGTATGGCTAATGTATATTTTGGTTCTCAAGCTATCGTACACATAAATTTTCTCCTATTTCTTAGCATAAAATGCCAATGACCTTAGTTTAACTTAGAAGTGTAAAAAGAGCTAATTTAGCTAAAAGAATAGTAAGTCTGATTACCTAGCCTTGCAATGAAATTTCATTGCAAGTGAGATATTTCAGATAACAATCAGCCAGTTGTACTTGCCTTTTTCCTTGGCCTAGAAGCAATACAGTTGAGCTCACCCAGTCAATCACTTCTGATTTCCACAATTTTGTTGTAGCTTTTTTTTTTTTATTTGCTTTTTGTTCTTTCTCCAGAGGGATGTTTAAATAAGATATCTAAATGAATTTTTGCCTAAAAAAACAAGTATGTGCATTAACAGAACTGACTTTGAGTCTTATACCTAAGAATAATTATAGAAATCATTTTATCTGTCATGTGAAGGACCCAGAATAAAATTAACTGTCACTAAGCATTGTGTCATGTCACCAAACATGTGCACATACATTTTGTATAGGGAATACATACTTCAGCTGTTCACTTGCTCTTCATCAGGCACACAGTCTAAGGTGGCAGATTTCCTTAGGAATGTGTTATTATTACATTTCCCATTTGAGCCTTTTCCATTAAAAGCTTTTCCTGTATCACAGAGGAAGTTCTGTTATTCCTGAAACAAAGTCACACCAAATTGTTTTTAGAAGAAGAAGAGAGGAAAAAGAGAGCTGTGGTGAATGGTGTAAGAGGCAATGTAATGTATGTTTTCAGAATCTTTTGCTTACTTTGTATCTCAGAATCCCTTGAGGTTTGCATTGTTCTGTTTCCTATAGCCCAGCACCAGGTTTTTGTGTCATAAGCAGGACTACAACTCCTTTTGGAATGTTGGGAAGATGCAGTGTGAGCTTCTTCCACTCAGGTACCTTCTAGAAGCAAGAGGTGAAAAAAAAATTAAAACAAAAAGGCAAGAATACATGGGCTCTCTGTAAAAGTCTGGGAGATTTTACCTTATGTTACAGACCAGATGAAAATATTCATAGAAAGCACACAAAATTCAGGCTTATTAAATTATTATTAATAGCTAAAAATTATCCTTTTTTCAGTTTAATTCATTTATGTAATTACATACACAAATGTGTGAGCATACATATAAAATATATATTACTCTCACTCTGTAGCTCATAAAACCACTGCATAAAATATTTTCATTATCAAATAGCAGACTAGCTACTATGCAAGTTCCTAGTTTCTATGCAAGTAGGTACAGCAGTTTTAGGTGAGCCACAAAAAGCTTGAATGTAATTTTAGTTCCTCAGAAGAAAAAAAATACAGTTTTTCTTCGATTTTAATGAAATTCAAGTTTAAAAATGCACTAGAAACAGGAAAAAAATGATAAATTAACAACAACAAAATTTAGCACCTTGTACATAATTAGCAATGTATGGTAAGTAAAGCTTACTTCAAGAGAACCTGAACTTATCTAACCAATGACATCTCTACAAAAGGTCCCAAAGCTAGCCCTCTTTTTCAAATTTCTGAAATTCCCTTCACTTAATAAAACCAAAACTCATAATTTTTACTTATTAACTTACACTAACAAGCATGTCTTGCTTTAAAGTTGGGGTCATTACAGTTATAATCTTTTGTTCTCTAGTAGTTGAACAGATACAAAATGCTTTCATAAAGTCTGTAAATTCTTTTCATTTTGTTTTAATTTATTTACCTTTTTTATTATTATTATTTTGGGAAATACTCAGGACTGCAACACTGACGAAAACATTCAAATTTCACTACTTATGTTTTTTTAAATTCCTTTATGAGAGAATTTTGTGATAACCCAGTCTTCCCTCAAAAAATAAAACAGTTCCAAAATAGGTAGTGACATAATAGAATTCTTACACTAAATTACTGTCATGTCCTGGGTTAATAATATTGAAGAATTAGAAAAGCACTTAAGTAAAATCCTCTCTTTGTTTATCTCTTGCTATTCCAGAGTGAAAAAATAATCTGAGGACTTTTGCAGTCCCATCCCACATCTCCGTATTAGTTATTCACCTCCTTACTGAGCAATATAGGAATAATGAAATAAGCAGCAAGGGCAAAAGCAACTGCTACTAAGCAAAGAAGGAATGAGACATTTCAGAATAGAATATTTGAGAATTTTAGAACTGCTCATTTTCCCCCATGTGTCTCTCATTGTTTTCTTGAAGCTGATACAGTTCATTTTCCCACTGTGTGATGATGATTAACATGAGACATCAAAGTTACATTTTAACTCTATTTGAATAATAACATTTCAGACGATAGATTAAAAATTTTACTAGAAAGCAAAATTGTTCAATCCAAAGTACCCTAATTTATCAGTGAAGAGTGAATAACTTCTTTAGTATTGCTCTAGGTGTGCACTAAGGAAATTCAGCATCTTGAAAATGGCTTAAGATAACCAACTGCTGTTAACAACAGTAGCAGAATGATGCCATAGCAACCCCTGTTACAAATCCCTGAAGGAAATAGCAGCTATTGCCCTGTAGCTATACTCAATATACATTTAATATGATTTTTCATAAAAATCTTTTATACCTCGGCATCACAAAGTCAAACTGTATCATCATTACCTATGTAAGTTCAGCACAATACACTCTAATCTCAGCATATGTAGGAAAATAAATTGTTCACACATTTCACATAGGAAAAAATGTAGCTGCTCTTAGCAGTGACCTTTCATTTCTTCAGTGAGATACTCTACTTCCTGCTGCGCAGTGACTTACTGTACTTTATCATCTGTTATGTTCTTTAGCATAAAGAGAACTTTTAAGTTCATTTTATGGTTCACACAGAATAGAGTGGAAACATTTTTAGCCATTTAGCCTTTGCAATTTTTTCATGCTCTTCCAGTTATAGATGCTTTGCCTTTTAGTGGGTTTGCTCGTTTCACTGAATTGTATAGGGAAATAGAAAAAAATAGTCAATAATTTATTTGATATAAATTCTTTTGACATAATCCAGTCATTTGCCTTTGCTTTATCAGGACCCAGAACAATTCATTAGAATTGAAAGATTATTAATGTAATGGAAAAATACGTTATTTTTTAACTGAAAATTAAAATAATTAAAAATAACGTAATGAAATTTAATGTGGGCCTCCTTAACTTAGAGGCTGATATAGAGGGCTAAGGCTACAGCTGTAGTAAAAACATTATCCAATTTTTGGACTATGTTATAAAGAATTTAATCCAAAATACATAATTTTAAATACATATGTTGCCTCCTTTTAAATAAACATAGAGTATAAGCAGCATTCATTTGAATACTTTGCTTAATAGACCAAGATAAGCTGATTTATAAAGGCATTCAAGTGTTTAGAGTTTTAAGTGTGGCTTTGTGTCTCCCACTGGCAGTCCAGTCCATATCTATGGAAACAAAGACCTGGCTCTAAGTCCTTGTTTTGTCAACCTGTACTTTCACCTCACTCGTCAGGCAAATAGTTACAGTTTGAGGAGTACTCACATGAATAAGGCATACAGGATTACACCTGTGCCTTTGACCACACTATATAAGTCTCTGAACATGCAGTTAGAAATTCCGTAAATAAAACTCTTGAAAAGTTCAATGGAAAAAATCAGAAAGATTATGAAATTCCAGTGTTAGGTATACTCAAGCTACAGAGGAAAATTTAAGGAACGAGCACTTGAATTTCAAAATAAACCACTAAATTATATATGTAGGTATTATATATATGGGTAGTACTATGAGACTATCTACATCCAAGTCCAAAATTAATACAATGACAATACATTGCTCAGCCTCTGGTCACCTTGAAATCTGGAGCTGGTTCTCTGACAGCGGAGAAGTGCAACTTGTTTTGACTTTGGAACTGACTTTAGAACTTATCTTTGCCAGTCTCTGGCTTGGTCTGAATGTTCCTACAGCTCTTTACCTTCTTTATTTTTTATTTTAAATCATAACGGAATTTCCATAAGAGGCAGTTAGCTTAGGCTATCTTTGGATACAGTTTATTTCCCAAAGAACTAATAAAAATAATAAAATTTTGTTTCTCTTTATGTACTGAAGAGTTCCTAGTTCCACAAACTGATCCCAATGTGAGTGTGACATCTCTCTAACCCCATTAACTTTGTTTTATGAAGTCATATCAGTTACACTGCTGTAGCATGATTCCTCAAAGGGTCATTTCCATGTAAGGAAAGTTCAGTACTTGACTTTTACACAGAGGCAACACCAAATAACAGGGATGCCACGGCTAGAGGAGTTCTTCAATGTTGTAAGAACATGAATCTGCTATTGGAACCCTTAGCCCACTTTAACAGACAGTTTGCAAAGTGAGAATATGCGCTACACATACCATAGGTCTGTTTTTTTTTTTTAATTAATATTTTTAGCTGAGGGGTTTTCTCCTAGTTTATCAGCCTTAATCAAGCATGGCACTGGATCTCCTCTCACAGGCCACTTGCATAGATTCTATGTACAATCTGAGAGGAAAGCATGAGACTAGAAGTCTTTCCACACTACAGAAGGTAAGTAGGCAAGCAATTTATGCTAGATAATAAACTTCTTATTGCTTAGCTGTTCACTAACTATTCTGAATTTGTTCATTACTGTACAGCTGATACAGAACCCTCAGTAACTGCTTAGCTTTCAGCATACTGCCTGTGGCCTCTTCCCAGTTTCCTTAAATCTCTTCTCTGTGCTCAAAAGAACCAAAGTGCAGAAGAAACTTATGTCTTTATTTCACATTCTTCCATTCACTGATGTGAAACTAAAGTCAGTGCTTATTTTCTACTTCTAAAATACACATAATACCAAATGCTTTAAAGGAATGTAAGGTGGTTTAATTGCAACATGCTATAAAATCTCTGAAAAATGCTGCAGAAAAGGAAAGGATTATTATTGTGCTATCTATATACAAAAATATATTTCTAAAAATTATCACAAAGATGCATGCTTATACTTCCTTGTAGAATGGTTACAAATTCCTAAAGCATGATAATCAACTCAAAAAGCAAGCTATGAGCAAAATTGAGATATTTATAATAAACAACTATCTTTTTTTTTCCACTCTTTAGGTAGAGACCGACCACGTAAGATAAATATTTAAACAGAAACCATCTAAAGAGAAATTCTCTTCCAGTCAGGCAATTCAACTCCAAATGGTACCTTAAGCACTGATTTATTTATTCATAAGCACTGCATTTATTAGTTTTTGTTTTCATAGACACTGTATGTTTTCTGCAGGAAGTTGGCGTGATGTGAAAATTTTCTATGTAAAAACAATAGCGAACTAATTTAAGGGAAGAATTGGTCAACTTCAGAATTTAGTATCCATCACTGTAGATAAAACAGATATCTAGAAAAAGATTGAATTACTTCTTCCAATCTACCCAGAACTGCTTGGAAAAGTAAGGTGCTTTTAGAGAACTACCATCAGCATCCACTTGGTAAAGCAGCAATTTTACCCTCAAATCTCCTTTTTAGTATTCTTTTGGGTAAGAACACTAATTGCATAACTTTTTTAATAAAGAGTTTTACATCGTGTGCTCCTTTTTTGATCTAAACATTACCAATTATGTTTCATTCAATCAAGAAGTCTATATAGCTCTAGTGATGAGAAGCATTGGGCAGCCTCTCGCCTCCATAAGAATAAATAAATAACTGAGCTTTTCAGAGTTTAAAGATTTACCGAATGCAATTTCTTATAAAGAACACCATGTGCTTTTAAAATCAGACACTGAAGCTTATGGATTAAATTGGATAGTCCTGTTTATAAAAACAAAAATAAAAACCTCTAACTTACAATTTATTTTATTCTTTTTTAAT